GGGGGTTACCTCAGGGGAACAAACCTTACACCAGGAATGTGGCTCAGTGGTAGAGTGCTTGCCAAGCATGCATGAAGCCCTGGATTCTGTTCCTCAGTACCACAAAAGCAGAAAAAGCCAGAAGTGGCATTGTGGCTCAAGTGGTAGAGTACTAGCCTTGAGCAAAAGAAGCCCAGCGACAATGCCCAGGCCCTGAGTTCATGCCCCAGGACTAGCAAAACACAAAACCAAAAAACTCAGGAACAATGCCCAAGCCCCAGAATTCAAGTCCCAGGACTGGCACACACACACACACACACACACACACACACACACACACAGAGCAGGGTTCCACCTATCTATGAGAATTTTCCTGTAGTTCATGTTTCTTTTCTTCTTGGATGAGCCAAACAGGTTAATGTATAGGTTTTACTTTTAAATATATGAATATAAAATAAGTCTGAACTAGTTGGAAGAATGTTGTCAATTTAAAGAATGTTCTAATTATGAGATCAGAGATAAGTTAAATAAAAGGAAGATAGGAGACTTGAACTAACAGTAATTAGACCCAAATCTGGCTCAGGGAAAAGAAGTGATCTGAATCAGGTCTGCACAGCAGCCAGGTGCTTTGGCTCATGCTTGTAATCCTAGCTACTCAAAAAGCTGAGCTCTAAGCTAGATGCTACCAGTGGCTTGTGCCTGTAATCCTAGCTACTCAGGAGGCTGAGATCTGAGGATCGTAGTTCAAAGCCAGCCCAAGTGATTATGTAATCACCTAATATCAATTAAAGAAAAAAAAAGTGAGAGAAGGGATAGGTTAAGAGAGATGAGTGACAATGTTATCAAGACGCTTTGTACTTATATACTGTTTTGTAGAATGGGAACTTCTTTGAACAACTACTTAAAGATAATAATTTTTTTAAATGATTTTTTAAAAAAAGCCAGCCCAAGCAAGAAAGTCTGTGAGACTCTTATCTCAAATAAACCACTCAGAAAACTGGAAGTGGCACTGTGGCTCAAGAGGTAGAGCACTAGCCTTGAACTGAAGAGCTGAGGGACAGAACCCAGGCCCAGAGCCCAGGGCCAGAGTTCAAGCCCCATGACCAACAAAAAAAAAAAAAAAAAAGCTGAGCTCTAGAGGCTCTTGGTGTGAAGCCACTCTGGGAAGAAAAGGCAAGAGACCCCATCTGTGATCAACCAATAAAACACTGGACTAGAGACATTGCTCAAGTAGTAGAATGTAAGGCTGAAATTAAGCCCTAGAAAAAGGTAGGAAGGAAGGGAAGGGAGGGAGAGAGGGAGGATGAGAAGGGAAGAGAAGAGAAGGGAAGAGAAGAGAAGAGAAGAGGAAAGATTTCTTTTTCAAAAAGAAAAAAATACACTGGGCTCCAGTAGCTCATGCCTATAATCTTAACTACTCAGGAGGCTGAGATCTGAGGATTGTGGTTCAAAGCCAGCCACCCCCCCCCCCCCCCCCCCCCCCCCCCCCCGCCAAAAAAAAATCCATGAGACTCTTATCTTCAATTAGCCACCAAAAAAACAAAAAGGACAGAAGTGGAGTTGTGACTCAAGTGGTAGAGTACTAGCCTTGATCAAAAAAAAAAAATCTCAGGAACAGCAACCAGGTCCTGAGTTCAAGCCCCAGGACTGGTACACATGCACCTTTGCATGAGTGCACACACACACACACACACACACACACACACACACACACACACAATCCAAGAGAGATTTTCTGTTACTACCTTAACCTAGAAATCTCCCTTGGCCTCATTACCATGAACCGCCTGACACAAGGGACCTCCCAGAGTAATGCAACATGGAGGTCATAACATCATCTGAGAAATATTCTTGTCAAAAATGTGCAACACTTACATATTCCTTCCAGTTAAAAAACAAACAAAAAGAAACAGAGGACACAGATGCAATATCAATGACACCATGAGAAAGTAATTAGACACATTTTGGAGGGAAGAAATTCCATAGAACGAGTCTAGGCTCCACGTAAGTCCATGTCATATGAACTTATGAAGCAGGGGTGAAGGGGCTGAGAATGTGTCTTAGTGGTAGAGTGCTTGCCTTGCATGCATGAAGCCCTGAATTTGATTCCTCAGCACCACATACACAGAAAAAGGCAGAAGTGGCTCTGTGGCTCAAGTGGTAGAGTGGTAGCCTTGAGCTACCATTAAAGGACAGTACCCAGGCCCTGAGCCCCAAGACTGGCAAAAAAAAAAAGCAGGGGTGAAGAAATGGTGGTCTAAGTTTAAAAAGACTTGCTGGCCAGGCGCCGGTGGCTCATGCCTATAATCCTAGCTACTCTGGAGGCTGAGATCTGAGAATCGAGGTTCAAAGCCAGCCTGGGCAGGAAAGTCCATGAGACTCTTATCTCCAATAAACTACTATAAAACCAGAACTGGCACTGTGGCTCAAGTGGTAGAGCACTCCCCTTGAGCTGAAGAGTGCAGGGACAGCACCCAAGCCCCACAACCGACAAAAAAAAAAAGACTTGCTGGTGGCAAATGTTCTTACCTGTAATCCTAGCTACTCAGGAGGCTGAGATCTGAGGATTGAGATTTGAGGCCATCCTAAGCAGAAAAGTCTAGGAGACCCTCTCTATATTAGCCAGCAAAAAGCCTGACAAGAAGCATGCCTTGAATGGTAGAAAGCCAAGCAAGAGCAAGGCCAGGAGTTCAAGCCCTTGAATAAATGAGAGACTTTAGAGCTGAAACAAATGTAAGATACCACACGGTCCTTGATTGGCTCTTCTGTCTATTGACAGGACTATAATATCTTAAATCGATTAAAAGAAAACTAGGCAAGTAGGGAAATCTGAATATGGTCTAAATGTGAGGGTGACAGTAGAGATAACTGGCAATTTTGTTAGGTATAGGTTTAAGGGTATAGCTAAATGGTACAATACTTGCCTAACCTATTTGGCCCAGATTTGATCTCCAATGATAGACAGACAGAGCTTTAAAACATATGACACCCAATGTCTCACACCTATAATCCTAGCTACTCAGAAGGCTGAGGCTTGAGGATCAAAGTCAGCTAGTTCAGGAAAGTTTGTGAGATTCTTTTTTTTTTCGGGTCCGATCATGGGACCTGAACTCTGGGCCTGGGCGCTATCCCTCAGCTCTTCAGCTCAAGGCTAGTGCTCTACCACTTGAGCCACAGCGCCACTTCTGGCTTTTTTCTTTTTGCTTATGTGGTGCTGAGGAATCGAACCCAGGGCCTCAGCAAAAAAAGCAAGCCCCCCACCACTGAGCCACCTTCCCAGCCCAAGTTTGTGAGATTCTTATGTCTAATTAACCAGCAAAAAAGCAGGAAGTGGAGGTATGGCTCAAGTGGTAGCGCACCAACCTTGAACAGAAAAGGCTAAGGGACAGCACTCAGGCACTAAATTCAAGCCTCAGTCCAGGCACAAAGAAGGAAAGAAAGAAAAGGAAGGAAGGAAGGGAGGGAGGGAGGGAGGGAGGGAAAGAAAAAGAAAGAAGGAAAGAAGGAAGGAAGGAAAGAAAGAAAGAGAGAGAGAAAGAAGGGAGGGAGGGAGGGAAGAAAGGAAGGAGGGAAGGAAGGAAGGAAAGGAGGAAGGGATGGAGGGAGGGAGGATCATTCAAGCCCTATATCCCAGGGCAGACTGTAAAAGCACTTCTATGTGGAGGTGAGTTGAGGACACTACCCTCCTCCCTGGGTCTCCCCAGCAACTCCATCCATAGCCTGCAGAAGCATAAAGTCAGTTGAAAGCCACATTTCTGCTGAGATAATCCCAGGCTAGGATTAGGAGAACTGGACATTTGAACCGTTGGCAACTGAGCAAGGGACAGAAGTTGTTCTATAAAGGGGTGATCTATAATTTTTATGTGGCTGGTCTTTTTTTTTTTTTGTCAGTCATGGGGTTTGAACTCTGGGCCTAGGCGCTGTCCCTCAGCTCTTCAGCTCAAGGCTAGCGCTCTACCACTTGAGCCACTGCACCACTTCTGGTTTTCTGGTAGTTTATGGGAGATAAGAGTCTCACATCCTTTCTTGCCCCAGCTGGCTTTGAACCACAGTCCTCAGATCTCAGCCTCCTGAGTAGCCAGGATTACAGGCGAGAGCCACCAGTACCCGGCGTTATGTGGCTGGTCTTAAGGACAAGTTAGATGCCAAAAAGAATTCCTTCAGAGTTGGGGGATTTGGGATTTCTGAGGACAAACAGAACAGCTCCTTCCTTTAGGAAAAGGTGGAGGGATAGAAAGTGCTAGAACCAAAAAGTTGCCAGAGGCCTGGAGCTAAGGGAAGACCAAAGAAAGGGGTATGATCTAGAGTATTTGCCTGCCTGGCACTGTGGTTAGGCACAGAGGCTAGTGTTGGGGTTATTAGTGACAAGTATATATTAGAAGTCAGATAGCAGCCAATGGTTGTGGTCACAGGAAAGATGTGGTGGTTGGAGAGACCACCTGGCAGGACAAGGTACAAGAGGGTATAAGAATGGGTTCTAAAATCCTTTGAAATCAAAGATGGCTCCTACCATGTACTGCACATTGCCTAGCAGCTGACGTGAACTGATGAACTTGTGGAAAGGTGTAGACAAGAGACACACAGTTGAAAAGCAAGGATGATGGGAACAGTTAAAAGTGGCCTTGAATATTGTCTATGAACCCTTCTTTGTGCCTAGTTCCTCAGCTGTCAAGTGGGAAAATAATAGTATGGACTTTAATAAATAAGAATTAGAGGGCTAGGAAGGTGGCTCACGTAGAGTGCTTGCCTCGCATGCATGAGGCCCTGGGTTTGATTCCTCAGCACCACATAAGCAGAAAAAGCTGGAATGGCACTGTGGCTCAAGTGGTAGAGCGCTAGCCTTGAGCTGAAAGAAGAAGAAGGAGGAGGAGGAGGAGGAGGAGCAGGAGGAGGAGGAGGAGGAAGAATTGGAGGCGCCAGTGGCTATCACTTGTAATCTTACTCAGGACACTGAGATCTAAGGATTGCAGTTCAAAGCCAGCCCAGGCAGGAAAGTCCATGAGACTCTTATCTCCAATTAACCACCAGGAAACTGATAGTGGAGCTGTGGCTCAAAGTGCAAGAGCACTATCCTTGAGCAAAAGAGCTCAGGGACAACTTGTCAGTCTCTGAGTTCAAGCCCCACAACCAACACACATACACACACACACACACACACACACACACACACACACACAATTGAACCAGGAGCCAGTAGCTCATACCTGTAATCCTAGCTACTTGGGAGGCTGAGATCTGAGAATCATGGCTCCAAGGCAGCTAGGGAAGAAAAAATTTTGAGACTCCTATCTCCAGTTAATGAGCAAAAATCCAGAAGTAGAAGTGTAGCTCAAGTGGTAGAGTGCAAGCCTTGAGCAAAAAAGCTCAGGGACAGCACACAGCCTCTTAGTTCAAGCCCCAATACTAGCATGAAGAGAAAACAAAATGATTGATGGAGTGAAGGGAGGAAGCCAGAGTAAGAACTGGATTATGGGGGGGGGGGGTAACCTGGGGAGGCTGAGAATGTAGCTTAGTAGCAAAATGCCTAGCATGCATGAAGCCCTGGGTTCCATTCCTCAGTACCACATAAACAGAAAAAGCCAGAAGTGGCACTGTGGCTCAAGTGGTAGAGTGCTAGCTTTGAGCAAAAAGAAGCTCAGGGACAGTGCCCCCTGAGTTCAAGCCCTAAACTGACAAAAAATAAAATAAAAATGCCAGGGAGAGACATTTGAATCATTTTCACCTGAATAAGGACATTAGTTGGCTCCATAAAGGGGTGACATAAGTTTTATGTAGCTGGTCTGCGTTTTTATGTAGCTGGTACCTGAGTTCTTCCGGCCCAGGAACGCCTGAGTGAAAATCTCGCTGACCCAGGCCTGCAACTCAGAGTCCTGCTGCACGGATTCATCGCTGGGGTAATAGTAGCCCACGATTTCTGAGACAAAGCTGCAGGAGAAAGATGCTGGTTCTTCTCCAGTAACCTGGGCCCAGGCCTGACGGGACACCAAGACCTCTACCTTGAAGAGGCACTAAGAGTTCTGAGAGGGGGTGTCTGTGAAGATACCCCCCCCAAGATCTGGCTGGAACTCAGTGCTCAGACTTCCTCTAAGTCCCTTCTGCTTGATCCAAGAGATTCTAGACTCAGCTTCTGCACATAAGTTTAAGGGGACAAGGCACAGGAGGTCTGCTTCATGCTGTGTCCTCCTCTCTCCATTCATCACCCAGGAGGAGGGAGCCTCTGTCATTCTGAGCTATTGGAAAAGCCCTGGTCCTCTGACTCCTCTGGACACCACCACCCCACCCACCACCCACCCCCATCACACTTGCCTTCCTCTGCTGTATTCAAGACACCCAGCCAGGTTCTAGCTCGCATCCATTTCACAGAGCACTGCAACACCAATTCCTATCCTCGGAAACTTCCTATACTGGAGACAGCCCCTGAGTTCCTCCGGGAAGGGTGGGCCCTAAATCCCTCAACTGTCATATGCACAAAGCTTCAGGCTTCCCTAAGGCCAGGAAGATCCTGATAGACTGGAGGGGCTGCAGATCCTGCCCAGCACCTTTCAATGGCTGCCCAGATCTTTAGGCCGTCGTCTCGGTAATAGTAGTTGGGGATATTCAGGACGCCACGAGCCCGTAGACTATCCGGAAGGCAGAAATGAGTGTAGGTGAAGTGGGCCAGACCTGTGCTCATGAGGTAGATGAGGCCACGCCTTCCGATGGATGTGACCTGTGGGCACAGCACAGAGGGGCTCGCCTATTCCCTGTCCCAGAGCCTAAGGAGCTTCCTGGGACTAAGGACTCAGAGGAGGGAAGATCTCACACGGTTTAACCAAGTGGTCTACCACCCCGTTAAATACTCATATGAGCCTGTCTGATCGGAGAGCTCGGGTTGAGAGTCTACCGCTACATGCCTAGGAGGTTCTGAGATCTTTGAAACCTCTAAGAATGACCTAGGAGTGGTAGTCCATGTGTGTAATCTCAGCACTCAGAAGGCTGAAACAGGAAAAATCTCCACCTAAGCCCTATAGTGAGTTCCAGATCACCTGAACTAAACGTGGAGAGACCTTGTCTCAAATAAATAAAAGACCTGAAAGCTGAAAAGGGAGAGTCTGGCCTCAGGCAGGACCAGCTGAGGGTATTGCTTGGGGCTGGGGCTGCTCAGCCAGTAGACCCTTGACAGGAGGGATTTGCAGATGGGATTGGCTGGTGGGGGATCAGAATTTAAGGGCGGGGCAAATTGGAAGACAGGAACTGCGGAGCCTGCAGAGTTTGTGGGAGGGGCCACGCATAGGCAGGGGCGGGGCCTAATAGAGGGGCGGGGCCATCAGATCTTGGGGGTGGGGCCAAACACGCTCAGGGGCGGGGCTAGGGGCCGAGGCGGGAAGGCTTGCACCTTGTCCACCAAGCCTTCTGGGTTGAGCAGCGTGGCCCTCGCGATGGTGTTCACTTGCAGCGTGTAGCGCGTGTGGGGAAGCAGGAGCTGCGAGCAGAATGAGATCACTTGAGCCGACTGTCACAGAAGGCCCCGCCTCCTTCGGTCCCCGTCCCGGGGTCACACAGACCTTGTAGATTGGATGGCAAAGCGGCAGCTGACGCAGCGTGGCCATGGAGAAGGCCTCGCACAACAAATGCGTGCACAGAAAGTGCGTGTTGTTTTCGTGCACCAAGAACTCAGAGTTGCGTACCCACGTCTTGGCCAGCAGCCAGTCCCACTCGGAGTCCGTGGGCAAAAAGATGGGGTTATCCGGACCAGGGTTCTGGCAGAGCTGAGCGTCAAGATGTCAAAATGGCTTGCCTGCCCGTCCCCCCCCCACGCCGCCCTAGGCCCCCCCCCCGTCCCGCCTCCAGGCTCACCTGGATGGCCAAGGGCAGCAGCGCCCCCTGCGGGTTGAGCCACAGCAGGCAGAGCGGGGCGGCCACGTACTGCCGGCGGCCGTTCAGGCAATGGACGGGTGCCTCCGCCAGGATCCAGTAATCAGCTAGGAAAATGTTGCCCTTCTGCAGGAAGGCAGAAACGCAGAGGCTTAGCGCGGCCTCCCCAGTTCACACTCCACTCCGATCTTGGCCTCATGGCCCTCTGCCGCCAGAAGTTGAAGTCCCCAATTTGAGCCCCAGAAATTCTTGGTGCTTGGACTAATGCCACACATTGGGTACCGCACCCTTCCTAGAATGTCCGGAATGAGGTCCAGATGAGTCTGTTGTGCAACCTTTCACTGGGCCTCTAGTGGCCCAGTGGCCACTCCTCCTCCTCTCCCCCATACCTAGCCCTGCCCACTCTCTCAACTCAAAAGGCATCCTCTTCTTAGATCTGATCTAGTGTATCCAACACAGCAAAATCAACACACAATGAGAACCAATCACAACACCGGCCTCTGGAGAATGGCTGAGGGCTTAGGCAGCCCAGAGAGTCTGAGTCATCAACTATTTCTGCACTGTCAGAGTTCCTTGCCCTTTGTGATCCTTTCTGATGCATCTGACTGACCTCCCATTGGCCTGTCCTACTGCGGCCTTCTTCAGCCTCCACATCTGGGATGGTGGAAGCCCCATCTGAATTTCATCCATACCTGCTTTCCTTGAAAATGCAGAGCTAAACCAGGCATGGTGACAAATACCTGTAATCCCAACTTTTAGGAGGCTGAGGTAGGAGGATCATGAGTATGGGGGCCATCTTGGGCTACATCATGGGGGGGGGGAGCCAGGCACTGGGGCTCACACCTGTAACCCTAGATACTCAGGAGACTGAGATATGAGGATCGCAGTTCAAAGCTAGCCGGGGCAGTAAAATCTGTAAGATTCTTATCTCCAATTAACCCCCAGAAAATTGGAAGTGGCACTGTGGTTGAAAGTGGTTGAGCACTAGCCTTAAGCAATAAAGCTCAGGAACAGTACCCAGGCCCTGAGTTCAAGCTAGACAACGAAGGAAGGCAGGAAGGAAGGAAGGCAGGCAGGCAGGCAGGCAGGAAGGAAGGAAGGAAGGAGAGGGAGAGAGAGAGAGAGAGAGAGAGAGAGAACAAGCCAAGCCAGGTACTGGTGCTTCATGCCTGTAATCCTAGCTACTCAAGAAGCTGAGATCTTAGAATTGTGGTTCAAAGCCAACCCAGGTAGAAAAGTCTATGAGACTCTTATCCCTAATTAACTAGCAAAAGGCCAAAAGGAGCAGTGTGGGTCAAGTGGTAGAGTGCCAGCCTTAAGCAAAAAAGCTAAGGATAGCACCCAGCCCTGAATTTAAGCCCTAGTACTAGCATAAAAAAAAGAAAAGAGAGAGAGAGAGGGAACTGGGTGCCAATGGCTCAAACCTGTAATCTTAGCTACTGGGAGGCAGAGATCTGAGGATCATGGCTCAAAACCAGCCTGGACAGGAAAGTCTGTGAAACTCTTGTTTGCTGAACCTGGGGCTTGCACTCTGAGCCTGAGAGCTATCCCTGAGCTTCTTTTTGCTCACAGTGAACTTTCTACCACTTATACTACAGTGCCACTTCCAGTTCTTTTTTTTGGGGGGGGGGGAGATTCCTGGGGCTTGAACTCAGGACCTGAGCTCTGTCCCTGAGTCTCTCTGTGCTCAAGGCTAGCACTCCACCACTTGAGCCACAGCACCACTTCCAGCTTTTTCTGAGTAGTTTAATGGAGATAAGAATCTCATGGACTTTCCTGCCCAGGCTGGCTTTGAACCACAATCCTCGAGTCTTAGCCTCTTGAGAAGCTGGAATCACAGGCATCAGCCACTGGTGCCCGGTTAGTTCCCAGCTTTTTAGAGGAGTTTATTGGAGATAAGAGAGGTTTATTGAAGAGTGGGAAAGAGGGGGGCAGAGGGATGTGGGAAAGAAAGAGGGATGGAAAGAGAGAGTACCAATGCTTTCCAGAGATCAAGGTCCACAGGCCTTATGCTCTACACACAATGGCAACCCAGCCAATCAAGTCCACAGCTGTGCTCCTCACCCACCTCTAGCTCTGTCTGTAGGCAGGTGTCTGGTCCCAGCAGAGAAGCCACCATGTCATTGGTGACAGGCAGCTTGCTTGGCAAGCTGGAGAGGCAATGGAGCATGACAGGATTGACGCCATTCAGATACTGGTATCCAAAGAAGTAATCCTCACACCAGTGCTCCATGACATACTCTAGGGGACAAGAGAGGGTCTGGAAAGTACTTCCTAGAGCCTTGTCCTGCCCAGCCCTTTGCCCATTTCTGTGACTTGCATTTTCCTCCCAGCCACCTATGAGGTAGGTAAAACCACATGTTCATTTGAATGCTAGACAATGTTGGGTCACTTGCCAATTTAAGTAGCAATCCAGGGATTTGAACCTATGCCATTTTGACCCCAAAGTCCTGAACACCTGGTGATAAGGAGTAGAGAAGTGAGTCCCATGCACCTAATCAGGATCAGGACTCTGTAAATGATCATGAGTCTCTTCTGTGTAAATGATCATGAGTCTCTTCTGTGTAAACAAAGCATGTCTACCTTTACCTCCATAATATTGCCTCCCCCTATCCTCCTAGGAAATGCCTGGATTTCAGAGAGAAAACTGGGACCCAGATGCCACTAGTGAAAACCAAGCCCCTCCCACTTGAATCCCTGAGAGAACTCTCTGCGAGGACTGGACAGGAGCTGGACTCTCAACTCTGAAGGGATTTGAGCAAGAATAAAGACTAGGCAAGTGCTGCCTAGCTCCACCCACCGGAAGTGAAGGTCTTGTGGCACCAGAAGATGTTCCGAATGTCATCCAGCTTCTTCCAGGAGCCCTTGCGGTCTAACAGCCCTCGAATCTTCATGCCCAAAGATCTGATAAGGAGGATAAGATGAGAGTGGGGAGGCTATGGGCTTTGGGGGACCACGAAGCTCCTTCTCTCTGGAGAGACCTGGTAAGGTTATTCTCCAGAGTAGAAACCCCATAGTGGGAAAGTCTTTGTGACTGATGGATGCTCTGCAGAGCCTGGAAGTGCCTGGTTCAAATGCAACCATCCCAAGACGAGTATCTACGTACATGTGCCCCCGGTACAAAACAAACCACTTTCACTGAAGTTTGTTTTTTGTGAGGATAGAGGTATTATTGGTTTGGTCATTTGTTTAGTTTATGCCAAGACTGAGGCTTGAACTCAGGACTTGGGCTCTGACGTCTTAGCCTTTTCCACTCTACCACATGAGCCACACCCCCATTCAAGCCTTTTTTTTTTTTTTTTTTGCTGGCTAATTGTAAGTAAGAGTATCACAGATGGGCTGGGAAGGTGGTTCAGTGGTAGAGCGCTTGCCTTGCATGCCTGAGGCCCTGGGTTCAATTCCTCAGCACCACATAAGCTAAAAGAAAAAAGCCGGAAGTAGCGCTGTGGCTCAAGTAGTAGAGCGCTAGCCTTGAGCTGAAGAGCTGAGGGACAGCTCCCAGGCCCAGAGTTCAGGCCCCATGACCGGACCCAAAAAAAAAAAAAAAAAGAGTATCACAGACTTTCCCTCCCAGGCTGGCTTCAAACCATGATCCTTGGATCTCAAGATTACAGACATGAGCCACTTGGCACCTGGCTTCTCTGGAGTGCCAATATTGTCCCAGACTTTACCTGGCTCCCCGTCTGCCTTCAGTATAAAACTCCATCTGCCAAGCCTAGCTAGTCCATGAAACTCCATCGGCCTAGATGTTCAAGCCCTGCAGCCCTGCCCAGCCCTGACAATGTGTTTTTGTCCTGAAGCCTGAGCCACTTTCAGCTGTTTGCATACTCCCCCAAGCACAGCCACGCCTGATCGCCCACTCCATCCCTCTGGGCCTCTTCCATTTGTTCTTTCCTTCAAGAATTATCCTGAAGCTGGCTGGCAATGACTCCTGCCTGTCAACCTAGTTACTCAGGAGGCTGAGATCTGAAGATCGTGGTTTGAAGCCAGCCCCAGCAGGAAAATCCACGAGGCTCTTATCTACAATTAACCATCAAAAAGCTGGAAGGAGCTGGATGCTGGTAGCTCACACCTGTAATCCTAGCTACTCCGGAGGCTGAGATCTGAGGATCGCAGTTCAAAGCCAGCCTGGGCAGGAATGCCCATGAGACTCCTATCTCCAATTAACCACCAGAAAACCCAAAGTGGAGCTGTGGCTCAAATGGTAGAGTGCTAGCCTTGGGCAAAAGAAGTTCAGGGACAGCATCCAGGCCCTTAGTTCAAGCCTCAGGACTGGCAAAAAGAAAAGAAACAAATACTGCTACTAAAGATTATTAATCAAGAGATTATTTTGTGGCTTGGTGCTATCTCACTTAATTCTCCTAGAAACCAATAATGTAGGGATGAATGTGAGTAAGGAAATCACTTAGAGCGTAAAGGGGAATCAAGGGTACACAGCTAGAAAGCATGGGTTCTGGGATTTAAGCTGAGGTGGTTAGACTTCACTTTCTTAAGGCTTAAAGGCAAATCACCCCTATTTCACTCAATAGGGTCCTGTCAGGAGTCCCTGGGGCCATGTGCTGCCCTGAGAAGAGCAGGGAAGGTAGAGAGACTCAGAGTCAAGAAAGAGAAACTTGAAGGTCTGTGAGAGGGGAGACAGGGAACAGGGCAAGGCACTTGGGAACAGAGGAAAGGTGTTCATCGGGGACCCTGAGCAGGAGAGTAGGGAGGGCAGTGGCCTCACGCAGGGAGGGCATTGAAGATCAGTGAGGCCGTCTTGGTAGCTGAGTAGCGGATGTTTGGCTCCATGTGCAGCAGAGATGGGATATCAATTTTCATGGGCATGCAAGGCAGATACCGATTCCCAGGGCTGGAGACACAGAGGAATAGAAGAACAGATGACAACCAGTCAGTGGAACCTGCATTCTATTCCCCTTAATTCCTCCCCTTGCCTGGCCTCCCCAGAGTCTCCCCTTCACTCCTGCTTTCTCTTCTGCCCTTTCAGCTCCAATCTCCTTACTCCTGTTCTTCTCTGTTAGATTCGCTCAGACCCATCCCTGGTCCCCCTCTGCTCCTGACCCTTGAATGAAGCTATACTTGTTCTAGACCCTGACTCCTCCCAGGCTACTGTATCCCTCCTTCACAGCAGACCCTTGCCATCACTTCCCTCCACCTCCTCACCTGTCACCCTCCTCATCAGTACAAGGCGCTGTCTTGGTCAAGACAAATTTCCTGTCTGACTCCATCTCTTCAAAGCTGCTGACATCCACCATGCGGGGGAAGCCAGGGGCATAGATCTTCCAACTGCCCAGAGAAACAGGTAGAAGTGGAAGGTTAAGGCCAGGCACTGGAGTTCAAGTCTATAATCCTAGCTACTTGGGAGGTAGAGATTGGGATCAAGACCAGTCTAGGCATAAAAGTTCCAGAGGCTCTATCTCAGGCAATGGCTGGACCCAGTAGTATGTGCTTGTCAGCCCCAGTGACACCAGAAAGCACAAGAAGAAAGACTGCAGCCTAAGCTTGCTTGCATGAAGTGAGATTCTCCCTCAGAAATAACCGATGTGGGGCTGGGAATGTGACTTAGTGGTAGAGTGCTTGCCTAGCAGGCAAGAAGCCCTGGGTTCAATTCCTCAGTACCACATAAACAGAAAAATCTGGGAGTGGTGTGTAGAGTGCTAGCCTTGAACAAAAAGAAGCCCAAGGACAGTGCTTAAGCACTGAGTTCAGGCCCCAGGACTGGCAAAACAAAAACAATGTGAGTCAGGACTGGTAACTCATGCCTGTAATCTTAGTTACTCAGGAGATGAGATCTGAGGATCATGGTTCTAAGCCAGTCCAGGCAGGAAAGTCTGTGAGACTCATATTTCCAATTAACTCCCAAAATGCCAGACATAGAACTGTGGCTCAAAAGTAGAGCACTAGCCTTGAGCAAAAAAGCTTAGGGACAGTCCCCAGACTCTGAGTTCAAACTGTAGTATACACACACACACACACACACACACACACACCAATGTGGTCAGGCTAACACCTGTAATCCTAGCTACTTAGGAGGCTGACATATGAGAATCATGGTTCAAAGCCGCCTGCACAGAAAAGTCAGTGAGACACTTACCTTCAACTAACCAACAAAAAGCCAGAAGTCGAGCTGTGGCTTAAATGATATAGTGCCAGCCCTGAGGGGGAAAAAGAAAAGCCAAACAAGGGCTGGGAAGGTGGCTCAGTGGTAGAGCACTTGCCTTGCATGCACGAGGCCCTGGGTTCAATTCCTCAGCACCACATAAGCAAAAAGAAAAAAGCCAGAAGTGGCACTGTGGCTCAAGAACTAGAGCGCTAGCCTTTAGCTGAAGAGCTGAGGGACAGCACCCAGGCCCCACGACCAGACCAAAAAAAAAAAAAAGCCAAACAAGAGTACAAGACTCTGGCACCAAATAAATAAATAAATAAATAAGCAATACAAAAAGGCACTGAAGTGTGGTTCAATTGGTAAAGTACTTATAATGTGAGATCCTGAATTCAATTCCTAGTACTGTTCCTTCCCTACCCCACCCTCCAGAAAAAACAAAAAAGCCTTAGATTTTTGTGTTGTGTGTGCCAGGCCTGGGTCTTGAACTCAGGGCCTAGGTGTTGTCCCTGAGCTCTTCAGCTTAAGGATAGCACTCTACTACTTGAGCCACAGCACCACTTCCAGTTTTCTGGTGGTTAATTGAAGATAAAGAGTCTCATGAGGGCTGGGAAGGTGGCTCAGTGGTAAAGCGCTTGCCTCGAATGCATGAGGCCCTGGGTTTGATTCCTCAGTACCACATAAATAGAAAAAGCCGGAAGTGGTGCTGTGGCTCAAGCGCTAGAACGCTAGCCTTGAGCTGAAGAGCTGCTGAGGGACAATGCCCAAGCCCAGAGTTCAGGCCCCACGACCGACAAAAAAAAAAAAAGTCTCATGGACTTTCCTGCCCAGGCTGGCTTTGAACTGCAATCCTCAGATCTTAGCCTCCTGAGTAGATAGGATTACAGCCATGAGCCACCAGCACCTGGCTGTCCCTGAGGTTTTTGCTCAAGGCTCACACTCTACCACAGCTCTGCTTCTGACTTTTTGGTACTTAATTGGGGATAAGAGTCTATGGACTCTTATGGGCTGCGAAGGTGGCTCAGTAGTAGAGGGCTTGCCTTGCATGCATGAGGTCCTGTGTTCAATTCCTCAGCGCCACATAAGCAGAAAAAGCTGGAAGTGGCACTGTGGCTCAAGTGGTATAGAGTGCTAGCCTTGAACTGAAAAGCTGAGGGACAGCGCCCAGGCCCAGAGTTCAGGCCCCACGACTGGCCAAAAAAAAAGGTCTATGGACTTTCCTGCCAAGGCTGGTTTTGAACCATGATTCTCAAGTCTCAGCCTCCTGAGTAACTAGGATTATAGACATGAGCCACCATTGCCCAGCTCAGATGCTTTTGATTTATAAAATTAACTACAGAAGCCCTAGGTTCAATTCCTTAATATTACATAAACAGGAAAAAGCAGGAAGTGGGGTGTGGCTCAAGTGGTAGAGTGCTAGCTTTGAGCAAAAGAAACTGGGACAGTGCCCAGGCTTTTAGTTCAAGCCCCAGGACTGGATAAAAAGAAAAAAAAATTAATTACAGATTGAAACTTACTTCCTTGTAGGTAACAACAATTGGATTTTCTCCATGAAGGCATTGGACATCAGATCAAGATAGTCACTTCTCTCCCTCTCCCTACCCCCACACACACCTTTCTCTCATTCTAGGAATCAAATCTAGAGCTCTGTGCATGCTAAGTACTAGCTACATCCTCAAACCCCAGGGTAGCATTTGAGAACAACATAAATACTAGGGTCATTTTTTATGTTGAGATTGAGAACTAGGTTATATTCAAAACAGTTGGAGATGGAATAAATATTGGCATAATTCTTGGATTTTTTTTTCCTGATACCAGAGTTTGAACTCAGGCCCTCATACTTCCTAGGTTTGTGCCACTTTAGCCACACCTCCTGATCATTTTGTTGTTGTTGTTTGGGTTTTGGTGTTGGAGATCAAGTGCTCTATCATTGAGTTACAACTACATCCCTAGCCTGGGATAATCGCTGATACTGATATTTGGGGTCCAGACACAGGATCAGTATTAGAAGAGATTGGGTTTAAAAGAGAGTCCTAGCCAAACGTCAGTGGCTCACACCAGTAATCCTAACTACTGAGGATGCTGAGAGGAGGATTGCGGTTCAAAGCCAGCCCGAGCAGGAAAGTTCATGAGACTCTGATCTCCAATAAACTACTCAGAAAAAGCCAGAAGTGGCACTATGGTTCAAGTGGTAGAACACTAGCCTTCAGTAAAAAGGAGCTCAGAGATAGAGCCCAGCCAGGCCCAAAGTTCAAGCCCCAGGACAGAAAAACAAAACAAGTCCTGATCAGAGTTAGTTCCCCAAGGTTGGAACTGAGGCCCGAGGAACAGCCTAAGACTGGGGACAGAACTAAGATGGCAAAAGAAGAAAAGAAGTCCAATTCCACCATCCTCACCGATAGCATTCTTGTCGAGACCGGATTTCCCGTTTCCTGTGCTCCAGAAGGAGAGGAAGAGAGTCGTGGCAAATGGTTCTTGCTGTGGGGAATGAAAATTAACCTTCATATCAATCTCTTTTCAAATAATATCCCTTTGGGCAAATATTGCCTGAACTCTCTAGCCCTTGAGCTTAAACCATATTCATTTCCACTTGAGCTGCCTGAGGGGACCCTCCAAGTCCTTTGTGCATTCACCACAGATTTTGTTGGTGGCTCAGGCCTGAAATCCTGGAGAGTCACAGTTCAAAGACAGCCCTGGGAGAAAAATCCAAGAGACTCTTATCTCCATTAAAAAAAAAAAAAGACATAAGTGAAAGTGTGTCTCCAATGGCAGAGTGCCTTCACTGATCAAAAAAGCTAAGAGACAGCATTAAGACACCAAGTTCAAGCCCCAGTACTGCACACACACACACACACACACACAAAGAAACTCCACAGTGATGATAACAACTGATGAACAACGATGAAAACATATTATATATATATATATATATATATATATATATATATATATATGCCATAACAGAAAAAGCCAGAAGTGGCACTGTGGCTTACATGGTAGAGTGCTAGCCTTGAGCAAAAGAAGCTCAGGAACAATGCTCAGGTCCTGAGTTCAAGCCCCAGGACTGGCATGTACACACAGACAGAAAGAACCAGGTGCTCAGGCCTAGTATCCTTGAAAAGACACTCAAATCAGTAAGAGTTTTTTTTTTTTTTTGTCGGTCATGGGGCTTGAACTCTGGGCCTGGGCGCTGTCCCTCAGCTCTTCAGCTCAAGGCCAGAGCTCTACCACTTGAGCTACAGTGCCACTTCCGGTTTTCTGGTGGTTTATTGGAGATAGGAGTCTCACGGTCTCTCCTGCCCGGGCTGGCTTTGAACCGTGATCCTCAGATCTCAGCCTCCTGAGTAGCTAGGATTACAGGCGTGAGCCAACAGCGCCCGGCTCAGTAAGAGATCTTAACTCACCTCCTAGGGCCTAAAAAAAAGTCAAAGTGAGCAAGGTACCAGTGGTTCATGCCTATAATCCTAGCTATTTGGAGGGCTGAAATCAAAGATGTTAGTTCAAAAGCCAACTCAGGGGCTGGGAAGGTGGCTCAGCGGTAGAGCGCTTGCCTTGCATGCTCGAGGCACTGGGTTCGATTCCTCAGCAAAAAAAAGAACAAATAAATTACTCAGAAATAGCTGGAAATGGTGCTGTGGCTCAAGTGGTAGAGTGCTAGCTTTGAGCA